CCAGCCTCCCCACAGTGAAATGGGGTTGCTGAGCGACGCATTGGCTTAGTGATGGAGGTGGCTCGTACCTCCATGATCCATGCGGCTGCTCCCCATTTTCTGTGGCTGTTTGCGGTCCGGTACGCTGCGCATCAGCTCAACCTCTGGCCCCGTGTCTCCTTGCCGGAGACCTCGCCTACACTGCGTTGGACGGGGATGGTTGGCGATGCGTCAGTGTTCCGGGTCTGAGGCTCTCGTGCCTTTGTCAGCGATACTTCCGCGGACAAGCTCTCCTCCCGCGCTATTCCCTGCGTCTTCCTTGGCTTTCCCCCTGACGCACCTGGCTGGCAGTTTTACCACCCCACATCGCGCCGTGTCCTGCCCTCTCGGGACGTCACGTTTGACGAGTCGGTTCCCTTTTAACGTCTCTTCCCCTACCGCACTGCCCCTCTCCCCCCCCCCCCCCCCCGCCGCTCTTCCTCGCTCTAGGACCCCCTCCGGTAGACCCCCTCCCCCCTCAGGGTCCTTCTCCCTCAGGTGTGTCTTAGGTAGACCCACTCCCCTTGGCTGAGCCTGTCGAGGTCACTGTAGACTCTGGTGCTTCTGGGGGTGGTGCTGCTAGGGGTGCTGCGTCTGGGGGTGTTAAGCCTGCGGGTGCGGAGCCTGGGGGTGCTGAGCCTGCGAGTGCGGAGCCTGGGGGTGCTGAGCCTGAGGGTGCAGAGCCTGGGGGTGTTGAGACTGAGGGTGCGGAGCCTAGGGGTGCTGAGTCTGAGGGTGCCGTGTCTGGGGGTGCTGAGCGTAGGGGTACTGCGTCTACTGGAGGTCCTGCGGGTGCCTCGCCATGACACTCTCGCCGGCGGGAGCCTCTCTTGCTGCGTCAGCTGTGCGAGTGGTTTGCTCAGCACACACCCCTTAGGAGTGGCGCTGCAGGAGCTGGAGACCCTTCAGCTGGAGGCACTGGAGCTGGAGGTGCTGGAGCTACTAGTCCTGGAGGTGCTGGAGTTACTGCAGGAGCTGGAGGTACCGGAGGTGTTGGAGCTGCTTGTCCTGGAGGTGCTTGTACTAGAGGTACTAGAGCTGCCGGAGCTGGTGGTGTTGGAGGCGCTGGAGCTGGAGACCCTGGAGCTGGAGGCGCTGGAGCTGGAGGTGCTGGAGCTGGAGGAACTGGAGCTGGAGACCCTGGAGCAGGAGGCAATGGAGTTGGAGACCCTGAAGCTGGAGGCGCTGGCACTGGAAGCACTGGAGCTGGAGGAGCAAGAGCTGGAGACCATGGAGCTGGAGGCGCTGGAGCTGGGGGCGCTGGAGCTGGAGGCAATGGAGCTGGAAACCCTGGAGCTGGATGCTCTGAAGCTGGAGACTCTGGAGCTGGAGGCGCTGGCGCTGGAGGCGCTGGAGCTGGAGGAGCTGGAGCTGGAGGCACTAGAGCTGGAGGCGCTGGAGCTGGAGGCACTGGCGCTGGGGGTGCTGGAGCTAGAGGAGCTAGAGCTCGAGGCACTGGAGCTGGAGGCGCTGGAGGTGGAGGCGCTGGAGCTGGAGACCCTGGAGCTGGAGGTGCTGGCGCTGGGGGTGCTGGAGCTAACGGTACTGGTGCTGGAGGCACTGTGCAGCGGCGACCGTTTTTCGCTCCGCCGCCGCCGTCGTCGCTACCGCCACCTGGCTCGGTCCTTCACCAGGTTCTTAGTCTCCCGTCTTCTACTGGCCTTACTCATCGCTTACTGTGTCCACCGCCTCACCAATCGCATCTACAGTTACCGCCAGACTCCCCACTGCCTGCTCCTTCTCCTTACACTGAGCACACATACTCTATTACAGAGCGTCGTGAGCCTGAGTCTCGTCCTGCCTTGAATATTCGCGCTGTTCGGACTGGTAGTCGTGTTCCTAGTCTGCGTCCTCCTCCTGTCCCTGGCACTCACATTATGGCACTTCTTCCTTCCTCAGTTCCACTGCGACTTCCCCTGCCGTCTCCTCATGCGTCCTCTCTAGCAGACGGTCCGGACCCTGAGTCTGCCTTAGTTCGTGCTGCCAGACCTACTGTCACACGTCTTCTAGCCACTGTTGTCACTTACCCTTCGTTTGAGTCCGCTGCTGCGTCTGCCCTGGTTGCTGAGCTTGTTGACTTTGCATCCGCCTGTCTTGTTGCTGAGTCTGAGTCTGAGTGTCCTCCGTCCGTCAAGGGTGAGTGTGCTCTTGGCACGGACGTCCTTGAGAACAGGGAGAAGGACTTTGAGTGTCTTGTAGCTGCTGTACCTCATCTCGTGGTCATGCTGCTTGCACCTGAGGGAGACCCGAATGCACCAGACATCCCGAACCCGCGCTCTTACGCAGAGGCAATTACGGATCCCTACTCCTCTCAGTGGCAGACAGCCATGGACGCAGAGATGGCATCCTGGAAGTCCACAGGCACCTACGTTGATGCAGTTCCCCCTTCTGGGGCGAACATAGTCGATGGCATGTGGATTTTCAGGGTGAAGCGGCCGCCGGGTTCTCCGCCTGTCTTTAAGGCTCGTTACGTTGCACGAGACTTTAGTCAGCGACAGGGAGTTGACTTCTTCCATACCTTCTCTTCTACCCCGAAGATGAACACTCTTGGGGTGCTGCTGCATGTCGCCGCACAGCGTGACTAGGAGCTTCACTCTCTTGACTTCAGGACAGCTTTCTTACAGGGCAGACTCCACAAGGAGATCTGGCTACGCCGCCCACCTGGCTTCACTAGGTCGTTTCCTGCAGGTACCCAGTGGAGCCTCCGGCGGCCAGTCTACGGTCTCCGCTAGGGGCCTCGCGAGTGGCACGACACACTGAGGACGACGCTTGCGGCTCTTGGGTTTGCTCCTTCTACTGCTGACCCGTCGCTGTTTCTGCGCACCGACACTTTGTTGCCGCCGTTCTACATCCTCGTGTACGTTGACAACCTGGTTTTTGCCACTGCTGACACTGAGGCACTGTCCCTTGTGAAGTTGGAGCTGCAGAAGAGACACACCTGCACTGACCTGGGTGAGCTGCGCAGCTATCTTGGCTTGCAGATCACTCGGGACAGAGCATGGCACACCATCACCCTGACTCAGTCACACATGGTGCATCAGGTCCTTCAGCGCTTTGGCTTCCGGTACTCCTCGCCACGGTCCACTCCTCTGTCTACCGGCTCGCTCTCAGCTCGACCTTCGGACGAGTCCGTAGAGCCGAGTGGCCCGTATCCATAGCTTGTGAGCTGCCTCATGTACATGATGACCTGCACTCGACCTAACCTTGCCTACCCTCTTAGTATCCTGGCACGCTACGTTGCGCCCGGGATACACCGACTAGAGCACTGGGAGGCCGCTAAGAGGGTGTTGCGCTACTTGTGCAGTACATCAGGCATGGGGCTCGTGCATGGAGGACGGTGTCCAGTTGTCCTCACTGGACACGCAGACGCTTCTTGGGTTGATGACTTGGCTACGCAGCGGTTGTCACAGGGTTACACTTTCAGCCTTGGCTCCGGCTCTATTTCTTGGCGGTCTACCCGCTCGTCTTCTGTTCTCAGTTCCAGTTGTGAGGCTGAGATCTACGCAGGGGCCATGGCTGCACAAGAGTTACGCTGGCTCACCTACCTGCTGACCGACTTGGGAGAGCGGCCTCGTTCTTCTCCAGTTCTGTACGTAGACAACAAGGCCATGATTGCCTTGTGTCAGGAGCACAGACTGGAGCACAGGACGAATCACATCGCTCTGCATTACTTCCTTGCTCGAGAGTTGCAGCAGCATGGTCAGCTTCGTCTTGCTTACGTGGCCACTCGGGCCAACACTGCTGATATATTCACCAAGGCACTTGAGCCTGGTGATCATCAGCGTTTCTGTACTGTTTTAGGCCTTGTGCCTATTTTGCCTCACTTGCTCACTGCGTGACTTTGCTTGTACTGTGATCTATATACATATACCTGCATGCTTAGCCCTGCTAGGTTTTTATCACTGTACTGTTTGTTCTCGTTTATATCATTCTGCATGTGAACTGGCCTTGTGGCCATTTGCATGTGCTCAGCATGTGTGGTGACTTTGTGATCCACCCTGAGCTTGCTTTGCTTTTACTTGACTGGTCTTGTGACCTCTTGTTCTCCCCCGCTGTGCCTACGGGGGTGAGTCAAACTGTTATAATGTTTATATTGTGTAGGCTATAGTGGGGTAGCCCATAAGGGGTACAACCCAATTAGGGTTAGTACTTGTACCAACTTTCTTCTCAATGCAATCATTCCCTCGTCTAGTTTCTGACAGTGGAGTTACATGCGTTGGAACCTGAAGGTGAAGACATGGCCACCCCCGCGCATCAACTCGGGCGACTCAGTCGGTCAGTTCCTGCTGTTTCTCTCCCTCTCTCTTTCTCTCTCTCTCACTCTATCTCTCTCTCTCTCTTTCTCTCACTCACTCTCTCTATCTCCCTCTCTCTGACTCTCAACTTGCCCTCTTGCTTACGCACTTGTTTTCTCCCCAACGGCAGTGTTCAAGTGGAATGATTGGCAGCACAAGCACATTCTGGTGGCCATTAATGCGGCGTGCTTCTCCACGTGCTACTTTGGCATTGTTGGCACTGCCCTCACTGTCCTCGCCAAGCCATCAAAGCAAGGCACTTTTAAGATCTCGGCGGTCAGCGACCCGTATACGGGATATTTTACCAGCAGCGTTGGCAATGATTGCCTCACAGGCATGAAGGTAGCCATGGAGCTTGAAGTTGCAGGACCAGTATGATGATGGTTCTCGGCATGTTCACATATATTATGCGGATCTCAACGCTCGGGCAAATGAAGAGCATGAATTTAATACTACGCATGCTTTGTTCCTCAATCGATAGCAGAAGAGATTCACATCACATGCAAAAGTTACACGGTATTTGAACAGAACCTATTATACATTAGTGGCAGTCCAGATTCTCTGGTTTCAGCCATGCTAGCTGCTATCTTTTCTGCTGTGCTGTCCAGTTACCACTGGTTTCAGCCACAGCTGCTACAGCAACAGCTAAGAAAACTACCTACCAGTACTCCCTAGTTTTGTCAAATCCTAATATTGTCTCAGTGCACCGCTCATTCTGCTAAGAGTGACCCGGCTGCTAGAGCCGGTGATTCTCCGCCTGGCTCCAAACCTACCGATGCCAACTGAGATGCCTGATGCTGCCAACGCCTCCCTCTCCTCCTCCTCTTCCTCATCCATGTACAGCTGATTCATGTAGCACATAGTTCCAGTCCCAGAGATCTTGGACCTTTCTCTGCTGCTACCATCCTCCTCCTCTTCCTCCTCATCGTCATACCCATACAAAAGGTTTGAGACCGTCTGTCCTTGCTCCGCCTTCCCAAACCCCTTCACCTCCATGCTCCAGTCCTTCCCACTGCAGAAAGGACCCTTACCGATCCTACTCTTCACTGATTTTTTTTCAGCTGCCAAGAGCTCAGTGAAATGGTACGCAGTGGACAGAGAGCATCCTTTCCCAATGCTGGAAACGCCGCGACCAATCCCCCTCTTCACACCAGCTACCTCCTCCGTCAAGCCAGTGGGGCTGCTGCAGAGGCTGTGAGCGGAGGAGGAGCAGGAGGAGGAGTCCGAGGAGAGGTGGATGAGACACGCACTGTGGCTGCTGCAGCTGCTCTCACTGCGACTCAAGCTGCACCACCCGCTGCTCGCCTCTGCTCCCACCTTCCCACCCTGCTCTGATCCAGATTCCACACCCAACCAGGCTGCAACCTTGGCTGAGGAAGCAACAGCCTTAACCGTGGGTGAGGCAAGTGAGCCTTCTTGAGCCAGCAGCTCCAGGAATGAAGACACTTTCTTCTTCAATTCCAACGGTTTCTTTATTTCCTCAGCTTCCTCAGACGGAACGGCAGCAGTCACAGTTGCAGCATCCGCCTTGCCAGCCTCAGTGGAATGGTGGACGGATTCCGTATCCGCTGACACAGCTTCTTCCAGAAGAGCGACAACAGGGAGAACGGGTACGGACTGCACCTCCGCTGCTGCTTGCTCGCATGGCCTGATCCAACTGGAGACGGCCTGCATGAGAAAAAAAAACAGATAGGTTAGTTGCTGTTTAGGAGAAGCGTCATGACGTAACCAGCAAAAAATTCCTGGTAAAGAATACGAGGGTTTGCGAGACTTGAAGGAAATGGTTTGGGGGAAGTGATTCTTACCAGGCGTGGAGCTGCAATCATGCTGCAGAAGAAGCGAGTGAGGGAGTCGTTCTGCTCCCAGCAGCTCGCGAACAGAGCATCGACGTCCACGCAGGCACTCTCAGCACCGATGCAGGCCATTTCGTTGACAGACAGTGAATTGGCGGGTTAAGGCTAAGCTTTCGCAAAGAGTTTGCAGAGTAGATCCTGAGCACTTGAAAACACTTGTACAGCTGGGAACGAGGGGAGCACGAGCTGGTAGGAACTCGCGGACAAGGTAAGAGAACTAGAAGGTAGCTTCAAGTCGAGACTATGAATGAAGCATAATTTCTTATGGTCTACATATACTATTTCGTCTGGTGGGTACAGCGAAACTGTTGAGCGTCGGGTGAGAAACGAGTGCGAGCGAGCGAACGAGCGGGAGAATGCGACGAGAGCCACGCGAGGGGTTGGAGGGTGGCAGGGGGAGCGAGGCAAGCAGGGGAACCCGATAGCCACTGCTGGGTGAATTCGCGACGCCTGTGGGGTGGGCTTGCGAGGGTTTGCGACGATCGGAGCCCTTGGCGACATCGTCGGCCGGCCTTGGGGGTACCGGGGTGTCGAGCGAGTGTCCGTTCTATAAGCGGCGATTCAGAATGTGACACGTGTGCTGGTCTGGAATGGTCTGGAAGCGCGTAATGCTCGAGTGTCCGCCGCAATCGGGAATACCGAGTGTGGCGGGAAATCTGTCAGGTTCGTTAGCCAAGGGTTTCAGCACACGCGGTGCGTTCCCCGAACCTAGAGCCTAAACCTAGAGAATTGCGGGATGATGAGCACGTGGACTGAGGCTATAACCGAGGCTTGAACAACAAGGCAATGAGGTCTGGCAAAAGGTGTTCAAATGTGTCAGAGGAGCGACAAAATAGTAGCATTGCAGTGCAAGTGCATTTTGTTTTGTCACGAAATCGACGAAATGTAGTGCTTTCGCGAAATACGGCAGATGAATGCGCGAAACAGAAAAACAACGAAATGCAAAACGTTCTGTGCCAGCCGGGAATCGAACCCGGGTCTGCACCGGGCATGTGGCAGGGTGCTATTCTACCACTAGACCACTGGCACTCATCAGGCGGGAAACATCTGACATTGTTTGTAGTACGTGTTTAAAAAAATAACATTTTGTAATGGGTTATCGAGTAACTGTAACTTAGTATGTTACGTAACGGTGGAGTTGTTTCCATTCATGTTCCGAAACCTTGAGTTTTGGAATGAAACTTGACGGAAAAAACACGCCCTGCGGAAACTGGGCTCTAATCGGATCTGACTTACAAGCTACGAAGAAGACTTTCCATGAAACAAATCAATCAAAGCCTAGATTCCATAATCAAGTTCCTTGGCCTAGTTATGTTCACTTCATAGTCTGTCCAACCGCGATTTTCAAATCTGCCGAATAGCTTGTAGCCACTTCTTTTTCTGGTAGCTGCCGCGTTTTGTTAAGATAAGTGTAGCTGCTTCGCACGACATCGCTTGCCATCTTTCGGGGACCGGTTTTGTGATTGGTTTTTTAACTTGCGGTGCGGATCGTAGAGGGATTCCCCACAATCTGTGAACTTCACTATTGCTCGAAGCGATGGAGCTTATAAGGAGGATGTTGCTACCGTTCGTCGTAGCGCTGGTTACAATGACGCGTCTCGCCTCGGCGTATCAAGTGGGAGATTACGTGCCGTTGGCCAGGAAGGGACAGTTTAACAATGTAAGCTCCGTTACCGTGAATTCTGCTTAAAACGGGGATGCTGCAGCTTTATAACGGGGACGCTTCACCCTCTTATTCTTTCAAATCCAGGCGCATTTCGCCTCTTCGTGTCGTATGGGGGACGACATGCCAATGGCCAGTAAACGGTAGTGTAAATGCGCGTGCAACGGGCTCTGTCTGTAACGGAGTTTTTTTTCCCACAGCGCTCTGACTCCGTCAAACGTATTTGGCTAATATCTTAGTCCTGTGATTCTGTTCAACGTATGCTTTGCGTGGTATCCCTCTCCCGCCTCTCTCTCCCATTCGTTCGCATCCCCTGCTCCTTCTCTCTTCTCTCCCCTCTTCTCCCGCCTCCCATCCTGTGCCCTATATTTCTTCCCCTCCGCCCTTCCCTCCCTCCCTCCCTCCCTCCCTCCCTCCCTCCCTCCCTCCCTCCCTCCCCCGTTCCCCTTGCCACGTGTACCGCGCTGATTGGATATGCAGATGCGGACGCACTGGCACGACGCCATTGGACGGCATTGCCCGCGATTCGGCATCAACCGAGAGGTGGGTGACAATCCAGCCACGGTGACAGTTGTGAGCATATGCCGGTGCATTTGCGAGGGAGTGGGTGGGTGACATTTGGGAGTGACTTGGTGGGTGAATGAGTGGGTTGAGTGAGTCTTCTGAGTGAGCTGCATCAACAAAAAGGGGGGGCATTTTTGGGCAAATACACCCAAAAGCCAGCTCCTTTGTCCTTTCATTCCCTTGCTCCCTACCATTCCTTGCCCGACCCCCATTCTCTACCCCCCACCCACCCACTCCCTCCCGTTCCCTGCCCCAGGTGGCTCTTCCCATTCCGCGCCCTGTGGGGTTCGAGATGGCAGAACACTCGTATAAAATGTAAGTTCCGTATTGTGAAAATCTCACAAGATGTACGAATGCTGCTCCACTCTGCGCTTAGCATGCTCTCTCTGCAACACTTAGCTCTGTGCGTGTGACATTCTTGAGGTTTCTTCTGGTTATTCTTCCATCGCAGTTCGTGACACTTCAGTTCAGTCACACACCTACCCTCTACAGCCACACACCCACCTCTGCCCCTTCCCCTACTCCCTCTCAGGTCGCTGTCAGTGAGCAATGAGAAGTTTGTAACCGCATGACTGAATTGCTGTCTTTTGCTGCCTCGTTCATCCCCCAACCCTCCTCGCTACCACCCCTCCTCTGCCCTTCCTCTGCCCCTCCTCTACTCCCTCTCAGGTCGCTGTCAGTGGGCAACGAGAAGTTTGTCACACCGTGGCTGCTTGTGATTGGTCGAAAGAGTCAGAACGTGCCGCTCATTGAAGTCACCTTGGTGAGTACAATCCAGGTTACCCTGTGCCCTAGTGGGCACGATCAAGGTTACCCTGGCATTTGAATTGAAATATACGAGACATTTTGGCCCAGGGTACGTTTGCACATCGTCTGCCTCTCCTTCCTGCCTGACTCTCCTCTCTCCCTGCCTCTCCTTCCTTTCTTTCCTTCCTGCTGTTGTTCCCCCCTGCCTGATGCCTTTTTTGCGTTGCGAGAGGGGACTCAGGGGATTGTGCGCAGCACAACGTTTTAGTACGCCTTTGAACATGTCACACACATGCTCGCACGCACACACGCACACATGCTCGCACGCACACACGCACACATGCTCGCACGCACACACGCACACATGCTCGCACGCACACATGCACACATGCTCGCACTCACACACGCACACACGCACACATGCTCGCACGCACACACGCACACACACACACACGCACACACGCACACACGCACACACGCACACATGCTCGCACGCATACGCGCACACATGCTCGCACGCACACACGCACACACACACACACGCACACATGCTCGCACGCACACACGCACACACACACACACACACACACACACGCACACACGCACACATGCTCGCACGCACACACACACACACGCACACACGCAAAAATGCTCGCACGCACACACGCACACATGCTCGCACGCACACACGCACACATGCTCGCACGCACACACGCACACATGCACGCCGCGTGTGCGCGCACACACATGAACTACCCTCTCTTGCTGTGTCATCCACTCACCTCGCCTTTCACCCTATCGCTCTCCATTCCTCAAGTCTCTCCACAGACCCCCATCAACCCTATCCTCCCTTCTCTCTGCCTCTCGTCCTTGTTCCCCACACATCCCTTTCAACCCCATTCGTACAGACCCACTTCGCAGGCGATTTGAGGGGAGTGCAGGCGAAGGTGCACAACTTACCACATGAATGTGAGTAGTGGGGCATGTGAGTGTAAGTGGGAGATGTGAGTAGTGGTGGGGCATGTGAGTAGTAGTGGGGCATGTGAGTAGTAGTGGGGCATGTGAGTAGTGGTGGGGCATGTGAGTAGTAGTGGGGCATGTGAGTAGTAGTGGGCCATGTGAGTAGTAGTGGGGCATGTGAGTAGTAGTGGGGCATGTGAGTAGTGGTGGGGCATGTGAGTAGTAGTGGGGCATGTGAGTGTCAGTATGTGAGTAGTGGTGGGGCATGTGAGTGTAAGTGGGAGATGTGAGTAGTGGTGGGGCATGTGAGTAGTAGTGGGGCATGTGAGTAGTAGTGGGGCATGTGAGTAGTAGTGGGGCATGTGAGTAGTAGTGGGGCATGTGAGTAGTAGTGGGGCATGTGAGTAGTAGTGGGGCATGTGAGTAGTAGTGGGGCATGTGAGTAGTAGTGGGGCATGTGAGTAGTAGTGGGGCATGTGAGTAGTAGTGGGGCATGTGAGTAGTAGTGGGGCATGTGAGTGTCAGTATGTGAGTAGTGGTGGGGCATGTGAGTGTAAGTGGGAGATGTGAGTAGTGGTGGGGCATGTGAGTAGTAGTGGGGCATGTGAGTAGTAGTGGGGCATGTGAGTAGTAGTGGGGCATGTGAGTAGTAGTGGGGCATGTGAGTAGTAGTGGGGCATGTGAGTAGTAGTGGGGCATGTGAGTAGTAGTGGGGCATGTGAGTAGTAGTGGGGCATGTGAGTAGTAGTGGGGCATGTGAGTAGTAGTGGGGCATGTGAGTAGTAGTGGGGCATGTGAGTAGTAGTGGGGCATGTGAGTAGTAGTGGGGCATGTGAGTAGTAGTGGGGCATGTGAGGAGTAGTGGGGCATGTGAGTAGTAGTGGGGCATGTGAGTAGTAGTGGGGCATGTGAGTAGTAGTGGGGCATGTGAGTAGTAGTGGGGCATGTGAGTAGTAGTGGGGCATGTGAGTAGTAGTGGGGCATGTGAGTAGTAGTGGGGCATGTGAGTAGTGGTGGGGCATGTGAGTAGTGGTGGGGCATGTGAGTAGTAGTGGGGCATGTGAGTAGTAGTGGGGCATGTGAGTAGTAGTGGGGCATGTGAGTAGTAGTGGGGCATGTGAGTAGTAGTGGGGCATGT